TCCCTACACCATGATTTTGGCTTCTACGCCTAACTCCACTGACCTTCATAGTAGTAAAATTCCTGATGCGGTCAAACTCAAACATGATCTCGATGTAACCATTGGTGGCACTCTCATTTCTCCAGCCCACGTAGTCATAGCCTGGCCACACATGGTACTCATGGGTCTGGGTGAAATCATCCAGGCCAGACACCCCATCGGTCAATTGGCCCAGCCCTTCAGTCATGCTGCTCAAGCCAAAAGAGGAGAAGGAAAAGGGAGAGAGGAACCTGGAGTTAATTACATATTCATGGAAGAGCTTTTACCCAGTTTCTTCACCCCAGGTTTTGTAAGAGCTGATTATCTTGGAGGCTGAAGAATTATGAAAAATCCAATATATTTTGTAGTACTGACTCATTTATCCTGCATCAGTGGAGAACTAAGAATTTCATATAAATGAATTTTACAAAATATTTGATGCTTAACTCTATAATAGCAAAGCTTTTAAACACCTCTTTAAAATCATTTTATATGAAAAGCTTTCTATGATCTATTGTATCCTTACCTGTTCTTATATACTTAACATAACAAGTCTTTATATAATGATTCAATATTATCAAATGCATTTGACTAATTCATCCATTAATGAGTAAATGAATGAACGCATAGAATAAATACTACAGCAGATAGTGGCACTTGCTCATCACTAAATAAATGGTCCCAGAGCTGGTTGGAAACTTTTCTGACTCTTCCTTTGACTGCATGTTGTCATTGTTCAGTGAATCAAATCCAGGGAAGCCAGTCATGCCTTCTTCTACCCCACATCTCCAACAACTTGATTCGATATCGAACAAAAGGGGGAAAAAGTAACTTCTAACAAATTTAAATACTGATTTATATTTAACTTTAATTACATTTGCAGAATACTAGACCCATGGAGTAAAATGCATGGACATGAGAGTCTCAGGCACTGGATTTCGTTTTATTTCCTAGCTTGGCAGCCTTTTCACTTCCGAGTGTAAGGCTCTGTTTGAATGGCTGAGTTTGCCAGAAGCCTGACTGCTGGGTGGGATGGATGTGTATTGATGTTAATTTGACTATTTGAAGAACATAAAGAGACCTCCTTCCTTCTGTTTATGGAGGGACAGAACAAGAACCCATCGTGTGGAACTTCTCTCTCCTCAAGCTCTGGAAGATATGTCAAGAGTCTCCCAAATGAAGAGATTGGGATATTCACACTCAAGCAATAATCCATGTGACCCATGAGGTTATAGGCAGACCAATGTTATGTAAAATTTGTGAATTACCAAAAAAAAAAAAAAAAAAAAAAAGGATTAAGAGTGATTATGCCAGCCTTACAGGTACATTTTTTAAATATATTTGTTCATTGAAAAATGTTTGGCAAATTATAAAATTTGACTGGCCTTATCCACAGTGACCAGAGCCTGGATCTCCCTTCCAAGGTTTTGCCATCTTTTTCTTCTCTCTACAGATCAGAAGGCTAGGAGAACATAAGTTTACTTGCAATGAATATATTTCCCATTATCCCCAGAAAAATAAATCCCCATGAAAGTCTTCAGAAAAGCAGTACAAATGAAAAGGAATGCTTATTCAATTTCTCTTTCATCAAAATTTAATCAATAAGGAAAGAAATTTTCCCTGTTTACTTCATATACTTTAGAATTGTTAGAATTTCTACAACAGTATATATTACTTTTAGAATTTTTTTTTAATTTAAATAAGTAACTTTTGCTACTATGACTATTTATTTCCTGAGAGCTTGAATTAGGTAACTCTGTATCTCATCACTTAGCCACCCCCCAGCTAGATAGCTCATGACCTCAATTATTAGGTGGAAGCTGACTGTGTCTAAATCTCTGTGATTATTTTGTTATCTTTCCTCTGGGGTTCATCCAGAGCCATATTTCCAGTTACCTGCCTTATTTCTCTATTTGAATGTCCTGTCAGTCCCTTGAACTTATATTCCAAACTGAATCCATCATCATCCCTTTCTAAACTAAGTCTTTCACCTAGGTTTCCCACTTCTGTCAATTATACTTCTCTTCCATATCCACTAAGAGTCCCTGGCACATGATAAGCATTCAAAATATGTTTGTTGAATGAATAAATGTCGTCTCCATTGTTTTAGACTATTGTTTCATGTAACTCTTTTTCTCACATTACTGTCTTGCCCCCTGTACCCAATCAGACTACAAATATTCCCTAAATGAGTATCTTTCTCATTCCCATTCCACAGTCAGCATTATGGCCTGGGTCATTAATTCTTTTCATCTGACAGAATTTGGAATTAGAAAATGTCCCCCTCATCTCCTCCCTTCCTATTCAAATCTAACCTTTGAATGCAGCTTGATTCATCTGTCTGAAGCACAGCTCCCATCATGCTCTTCCCCAGCTTTAAAAACCTTCAGTGACACATTGTGTCGATGATGCTGGTAAAGAAGAACAACCCCTCCTCCTCCCCTCTTCTTCCTGGCCCTGACATTCAAGTTCCTCCAAAATATGACAAAATCCGCCTTGCTATGCTTCTAATCTACTGCCTTGCTACATAAATATGGCCCATGGTTAACTAAACTGCTGATCTTTCCCAGACATTCCCCTAAACTTTACAACCATGATTCTTTTGTCATCATGGTATTCCCTCTGCCTAAAATGCCATTTCAAGATTCTTTGCCTGTGAAAGTTCTACCCATCCTTTGGGGTCATTTCAGATTTCCTCTATTCTATTATGTTTTAACTGGTCCTCCAATCAGATAATAACTTACATGTATATAGCACGTTATCTCTACAAAATGCTTTCCTTATATACTTTTTTTTTTATCACTTCAGCCTCATAGACAACAAATAATTTTATGACATGAATCCAGGTGTTTTCACTCCCAATGCTCTGTTTTCCTTCTATAGCTTCCTTGTTTCTTTGAATCCCAAAGCACTCATCGTGTATCTCTTACTCTTATGCTTGTATCATAGTAATTTATATCCTGGTTTAGTCCCCATTCCTAACTGTGAGCTTCTTAAAGGTAGGACCAATGACTTTATTATATTTGAATCCCTACCAAATTCCTTGCACACAGTAACAGTTGATTAGCAAAGACTTACTAAACTAAACTGAATTCAATTGATCTCTGATTTCCTCTGTGCCTTGAGTTGATGGCAGTTGGGTGTGGCTAAGTGAAATGACGTCAAGACAGATTATGTAAAAGGGGAAGAACAGTGACTAAGTAGATGGAAAGGAAGTGATTAGTAATAGAAGACTGGATGAGTGGGGCATGGAAGCTTCACACAAGGCATGGAAGCTGGAGGGCAGTAGTTTATTCTTCACACCGAAGACCATGGAAGTGCTGTAATTCCACACTCCTCTTCCTGAGATTCACTAATCTCTCTCTCAACCACCAGCAACCTCCATCATCTGGTGTGGACTTCACTATGGTCTAACCTCTCTGCCAGGCTCAATCTTTGCAGACAAAGATTAACCTAAGAGAGAAAAGTGTTGAAGTGGGGTAGAAGAAGAACGGCAAGACTTGGAGTGAACTGGGATAGGTGGGAACATCTCTTATCCAACCCTAAATTCATTCTGTATCTGAACATACTTCACCATGGCCCTCCCTTGGTTCATTTCATGTATCCATTGGTCCTTCTGCTGTTCCCAGTTCTAGCTTTTGCTATAGTCAGGCCATTCTGGTCCTCATCCCTGATTCCCTTCCTCTGCTCCCCTCCACCTACCTCCTCTGCTCCAATTATCATCTCATCCTAGAATCTTTCCTTGTCTGTTGTAAGCCTTAATAGTCTCCTTCTTTTCACAATTTCTAAAGCATTTACGTTTCTGGGGTTCACTCTTTCTGAACGTCTTTATCTGTCCAGTTTATTATACTTGTAACTTCAAATCTTCTGTCCCTTTGTCTCCATAAGTAGGCTATTATTTGTGTCAGACCACACGTCTTGTTTTGAGGGTCAAAAATTATGGCTACTGTACTCAGAGCCATACCACAAAGTTTAGCCCTTACTTTGTATAATTTGTTGTTTTCCTTCTGATTACTTTGTCTTCCCAAACTAGGCTCTTAGTTCCTTCCAAATAAAGACTACATATTTTACTTCATCTAAATTTCTCTCACAATGCCTAGTATAAGGGCTAAATAAACATTGGTTAGTTGACTGATTGAGTCATTGATTATTGTTCCCAGAACAATACAGAATTTACCTGTACCCAACGGCCCCATCATAGACAGAATCGTTCAGATAAATGATGGAGCCTCCTGGTAGTACAAACTGCTGTCCAGCTGGAGCATTATAAGACACCAAGCCATCTGCCAAAGGAAACACAGAGGTGTCAGTGCCTATGGGAAGGAGATGCACCTGCTGCTCAGAACAACTATCCCAGGGAACTACCTGAGGCTTCAAGACTGCAATCTTGAGCAATGTGTCCACCTAGGACTCAATCTGGGCACACAGGGAGTACTCTTCAGCAGCAGTCAGCAAAGTGACTTGGAATGCAGTATGCCAGGTGTGGGGCACGAAGCCCTGGGTGGATGAATAATATTCCTTTCTTTACTCTAACCAAGAGGGGATCACTTCTTGGTGATCAGTAATTCCGGTGAAATTCTTGGTGAAAGTAATTCCTCCTTCTGATTTGATTGCCTTTATTTCCCAGGGGCTGGGGTTTTTAATAAGGTCTACACGCTCTCTCTAGAGACCTACCTAGCCAGACACAGCCATAAAGCTCCACCCTCATGCACACATTCATGGAGTGATCGGTGACTGGGATAAAGCGGACAAATCTGGCCACAATGGGTGGCTCCAAGTCCTTTAGGAAAATGTCATAGGGGTTACTATTTCCATCCAGCACCTGAGGAGAGATAAAAGAAAGAGTGAGAAGATGCTATGAAGTTATGCTGACTCTTCTTCATTCCCCAAGTCATTATCTCTTTGATGGAACCTCTCCTTTTAATTCAAGGAGCAGAATGTATCCACTCAGCAGCCTTGATATCCCTATGTGTGCCCCCCACCCCACCCTCCTTCATCTTGGGTCACACATTTACAAGGGCATCCCAGGTCTGCAGACACACACACCTACATAGACAACCTGTGCACTTCCTCTTCTAGCCTAAGTCAAAATATGGTCCCAGACATCCCAGGGTCTGGATGTGTCTTCTTCTCACCTGTTTCCCATGCCGGTTCCGCCAAGAGATCCAGCGAGTGCCATCCCGACTGTAATTGATCTTGTACATGGGGGCAAACTCAATGCCATGGCCCCCTGCATGGCGCCCCTGGGTTCCCACCAGAGTGATAAAGTGCAGGGTGTGCAAGTCAATCTGCAGAAACTCCTTCAGGTCATCAGGTTCCACTGGAATCTCAGGACACCAGGCTCCGTCCCCTTCTTCTGAGTCCAGCCTTGATTGACGAGGGTTGGGGGTAGAGGAAGGAACCACGAAAACACAGAGTTATTTACCAGTCCCCAGCAAACAGCTGCCCAGTGCTGAAGAGAGACAGCAGGCTGGGAGTCCAGTCCAGATGGACTTTTTGGGTTCTCCCTACCAGTCTGACTGTCACCACAGTACCCACTTGTGGTCAGTTCCCTCTTCCTGGGGCACCATGAAACCCAGAAAGACAGTCACCACCAGGGAGCTAGAGGCCTTCAGATGACATGGAGCCTTTATTTCCCATCCTGATTTAGAGATCTCAAGGGAGGTCCCATGCAGTGAAACCCTTCCTACCCTCTATTCCCCACTGAGTTATTTTACCACCCTCACCCCCACCCCCCATTTTCAGTCTCAGCATAACAAGGCTAACCACTCCTTGCCTGGATATCAAGTTATAAGAGTGGGGAGGGAGGAATCATAAGACCTGCAGTGTGGGTTGTGTAATGTAGTGGAATTTTAACCAGCAGGGTGAGCATGGCAGCTCAGCAAAAAGCCATGGAAGCCTATGGTGAGGGGTAAGAGTATGTCAGGGAATAGTAAATAATCTGTTTTCATTTTACTACCTCCAGGCTGAACTACCCACAAACAAAACTGTGAAATCATTATAAGGCTTATTTTGGGACCCTCTTACCCCTTTCCCTCTTCCCTGGAATGTGCTTTCTCTCACAGACGGCACCTGCTCATTGTTGCTCCCTTCTAGCCCCACCAAACATCACTCTAATCTTTCATACACTAAGACAGAAATCATGGAGAAGGTTTACAGGGTTGCTTTTCCTATGGATGATTCCATTTCAACAGAAATCAATGCTTTACACCAAAAGAACTAGATTCCAGGAAGAAGGTTACTTCTTAACAAGCTTAACAAGCTGAATAGTTCTTGGCAATAATTTTTGACAAGCAATAGTTTATTGCTTTAAAGGACCCCTGATATGAGACCACAAGAAACCCAACACACTTTGTTTATGGATGAGGGTGGCCCTTTTATGTGAGGTAACCTTGAGAGGAGGGAAGAATTTGTTGGATGCCTCAATGTCTATTTAAGGCCTTGATGCCTTGCACTATGATTGATGTTTCACAAACACCCACTGAGAAGAGGGCCGTGTCTCCTAACTCTCAGTGACCTACCTAATCTGCACTTTTTCATATGTACCACTGTAGTCCACTTCCTGCAGTAGCTCATGGTGAGAACGTGAGATAAAGCAAGTGCACTGCATATCAATAAGCCGATCTGCTGTGGGTGGTGTGGCTCAAGGGCCCCTGTGGTTAGGGTGAGGTTGCTAGACTAGCACGTGCTGCCAGGCCCCAAATTCTCTACCTGAAAACATGCAGAGCAGGTCCACTTTGATGTCCTTCCCCCATTCCCACCAGCTCCCACCAAGTACCACGCTTCTTCCTTAGACCCTTGAGTCAGTAATTCTGTCCAACCCAGAACTCAGGTTTTCTTGAGGCATCCATTCTCACCTTCCATACTTGGCAGCTGTGGACTCTGACCACTGACTGGAAGCTGTGATGTCTTCATCTGGAATGTGGCCTCCTGACATGCCCAGAGGATAGCGGCATATGGCTGAACCAAGAGAAACCAAAGAGAAAAGAGAGGAAATCCTTTTATTTTATTTTCAGAGACCCCCAGCTAGAATGCAATTGATTATTAGACAGGAAAGAGGGACTAGGCCCCTCTATGACCCCAGTTTGACCACTATGACTCGCTCAGCCTTTTCTTCCTGGCCCTGACTCCAAACTTATTAGTGTTCAATTTTCCAAGCATTTGAACCTCAGCCAACTTTATCTTCTGGTCCAAACTCTGACAATACTGTTATGTGCTAATTTATTCTTTTATTTGGTAATAACTCTATGGCCCATCCCCATTTCCTTATTAGCAGACATGCATTTCTAATCAGTTTCCCAACAATGGTGAGTTGTCCTCATAATCACTAGGTACCTTTTATGATCCATAGCATTTTCTTTTCCTAGATAGCTGATTTCATGAAACTATGGAGCAGAGCTAAAAAAAAAAACTCTCCTATAAAGGTACTGAACACTCAGCTTTGGCCCCCATTGGTACCATGTTTTGGACTCTGGCTAAAAATAATAACCTCTGGAATTGGACTTCCTCCTCCATCCAAGATAGAGTAATAAAGACCAGATTTATTCTGCTGGGTGAAACAACCGGAAAATGGGAATAGTATATGTAAAATTGGATTTCAACATAATGAATATCAGACAACAAAGGGCAGCAATCCCTGAGAGACAGGAAACAAAGAAGATGAACCCCACAGTTGCAAAAGCTTACTTCCATGAGAGAACGTCCAGGCTGTAGCACAGTGAGTGGAAACTCAGGCGGAGGCTGGAGGATTCCCTGAGCTCAGAAGACAAAGGTAAGAGTCTGTAGAGGTCAAGGGGACTAGAGCTCTCAGGACATAGAATTGCCAATAAAATACAGGATCCCTGGCTAGATTTAAATTTCAGATAAACAATGAATAATTTTTTAGTACAGATATGTCCCATGCCAAACAAAAGCAAAAACAAAAAACCAGGCTTTAAGAGAAGCAGAGAGATAGAACCTATAATAAGAAAAATAAATAAATCAGTTGAAACTGATTCAGAATTAATATAGAAGTCAAATTAGAAAAGAAGAACACCAAAATAGTTATAACTGTGTTGCATATGTTCAGAAATATAAGGGGAGCTATAGAGGATAGAGAAAAGAGGTAAGTCAAATTTCTGGAGATAAAACTTGAATGTGTGAGAAGAAATACACTGTATGGGATTAAGAGCAGATTACATATCGGAGGGGAAAAAAATAGGAACATAAAGACAACTATAGAAACTATTCAAAATGAAACAATGAAAGAAAAGAGCATCAGTCAATAAATCAATAAACAAAAAGCAGAACATTTGTAAGATGTGAAACAATTTCAAACATCTAGACATACATGTAAATGGATACCTTGAAAAAGAGGCGGGAGAAAGACAGAAAATTATTTGAATAAAAATTGGTGGAAAATTGTTTTAATTTGATGAAAATGATAAACCCAAGAAACTTAACAACCTGAAGCACAAGAAACACGAAGAAAGCTACACTACAGTATATCATAATCCAATTGCTTAGAGCAGATAATAAAGAGAAAATTTTAAAAGCATCAAGAGGAAAAGGACACATCGTGCACTGAGGACCAAAGATAAAGACAACAGCAAATTTCCCAAAATGGCAATTACATGGTAGATATATAAGATGATTTTTAATGTTATTTATATCTCTTTAAGTGGTTATTGGCTATTTAAACAAAAATAATAAAAACATATTGTGGTGTTCACAACATACACAAAAGTAAAATGCATGACAACAATAGCATAAAGGCTTAAAGGGAAAAATGGAAGCTATCTTGTTGAAAGGGTCTTACACTCTATGTGAAGTGGTATAATATCATTTGAAGATAGACTTTAGTTAAAGATGTATACTGCAAATGCTAAAGCAAGCACAAAAATAATATTTTTTAAAAGACTTATAGCTAATAAGTCAAGAAGAGATAAAACAGACTCATAAAAATTCAATTAATTGAAAAGAAGGCAGAAGAAAAGGAAACAAAGAGCACAGGACAAATAGAAAACAAATAGCAATAATATAGATTTTAAGTTAATCATATAAATACTCTCATTAAATATAAATGGTCTACATACCGTAATTAGAAAGTAGAGATTGTCAGACTGGATTTTTTTTAAAAAGCAAGTTTAAACTACATATGATCTATGAGAAACACACTTTAAATATAAAAACACAGATAAGTCACAAGAAAATATGGAAAAAATATACCACAAAAACTTAATCAAATGAAAGGTGAAGTGGTTATATTAATACCAGACACAAAAAAATTCAAGACAAGGAATAAAGATGGTATTTCACAGTGATACAGGGGCTAGTTCATCAAGAATACATGACAGTCCTAAATACTTATGCATCTAATAACAGAGTTTCACAACAAATGAAGCAAAAAAAAAATACAAAATAATGGACAAATCCGCAATTATAGCTGGAGATTTCAATTATTCCTCAACTAACTTCTTTCCAAAGAAGACATATAGAAGGCCAACAGGTACATGACAAGAGCTTAACATCACTAATCATCAAGGAAATGCATATCAAAATCACAGCAAGATAGCACACATCTGTTAGAATGGCTATTATCAAAAAGATCAGAAATTACTAGTATTGGCAAAGATGTGTAGTAAAGGGAATGCTTGTGCACTGCTGGTGGAAATGTAAGTTGGTGCAGCGACCATGGAAAATGATATGGAGGTTCCTCAAAAAATTAAAAATAGAATTACCATGCAATCCAGCAATTCCACTTCTGGGTATTTATCTGAAGAAAATGAAAACACTACTCAAAATGATATATGCACCCCCATGTTTACTGCAGCATTATTTACAATAGTTAAGTTATGGAACATCCTAAGTGTCCATTGATGGATGAATGGATAAAGATGTGATATATATACACGTACATACCATATATATGGTTTATTTAACCATAAAAAAGAATGAAATCTTGCCATTTGTGACAACATGGATGGATCTTGAGGGCATTATGCTGAGTGAAATAAGTCAGACAGAGAAAGACAAATATCATATGATTTCACTTATATGTGGAATCTAAAAAACAAACAACCAAAAAAAAAAAAAAAAAGCTCACATATACAGAGAACAGATTGGTTGAGCCAAATGGGTATAGGGGATCAAAAGGGACAAACTTCCAGGCTACAAAATAAATAAGTCACAGGGATGCAATGTACAGCATGGGACTTAATAATCTGTATTGCATATTTGAAAGTTACAAAGAGAGTAGATTTTAAAAGTTCTCATCACAAGAAAAAATTATTTTTGTAACTATGTATGGTGATAGATGTTAACGTAGACTTATTATGGTGACCATTTCTCAATATATACAAATATAGGATCAATATGTTGTATACCTGAAACTAGTACACTGTTATATGTCAATTATAACTCAATTTAAAAAATTATATTGGAATTTCCAGACAAAGCAATAAGGCAAGGGAAAAAAATAGTAAAAGGCACCCATATCGGAAAGGAAGACATAAAACTGCCTTTAATTGCAGATAACAGGATCAGTTATGTAGGAAATCTACAAAAAAAGCTACTACTAGAACTAAAAGATGAGTTTAATAAGGTTTCAGGACATAAGATCAATATACAACAATCAGTTGTGTTTCTATAAACTAGTGGTGAACAATTACAAGTTACAGTAGCATCAAAAATTACAAAATACTTAAGGATAAACATGACAAAATATGTGAAAGACCTGTGCACTAAAAACTATCCAACACTGCAAAAAGAAATTAAAGATCTAAATAAGTGGAGATAATATACTACAATGTTCATGGGTCAAAAGAATCAATACTATCAAGATGTCCATTCTACCCAATCAAAGTCTCAGCAGGCATTTTTGTATAAATGAACAAATTGATTCTAAAAATCATATGGGAAAGCAAAGATCCCAGAATAGTCAAAACAACTGAAAAAGAAGATCAAAGAGGAAGAACTAACATCAGATTTTAAAACATTATAAAACTACAGAAATTAAGACAGTGGGATGTTGGTATAAGATGAACAAACATACCAAAGAAACAGGAGAAAGTCCAGAAGTAGACCCATATATCTATACACTGATTCTGTCCTGCAGCCACTCACTCCTAGGCATTTGTCCAAAAGAAATAAAAGTGTAAGTCCATACAAAGACTTAGGAGTGTCCTTAACAGCTTTATTTGTAACAGACAACGCAAATTGGAAAACAATCATATGTCATCAACAGGTAAATGGATAAACAAATTGCCATATATCCATGCAGTGAAATACTACTCAGCAGGACTGGAATTAGCAAGTGAGGTGTTTAGGGTGCAAAATACAAGGAGATGCCCACTCCCAGGGTCATGGAAGTCCCAGTGCTGCCTTTGCAGGATCCCGAGGGTGAGCACCAGCTTGCACTTTGCACGCTAGGCACCTCCCTTGCCTCATCCTAGTCCCATCTCTGCTACTCAGTAATAAAAAAGAATGCTCTATTGATACATGCTACAACACAGATAAATTTCAAAATAATTGTGCTGAGGGAAAGAAGAGTACGAACCAGGCAAAAAGAGTATATACCGTATGCGTCCATTTATATCGTATATTATACGATTCTAGAAAATGAAAACAAGTCAATCTACAGTGACAGAAAGCAAATCAGTGGTTACCTAGGGAAGGAAGGAGTGGGCAGAAGGAATTACAAGGGGACACAAAGAAACTTTTGACAGTGATGGATATGGTTATAATCTTGATTATGGTGATGATTTCACAGGTTTATACATATGTCAAAACAGATCAAATTGTGCTTTTTTTTTTTTTTTTTTTTTTTTTGCGGTACGCGGGCCTCTTACTGCTGTGGCCTCTCCCGTTGCGGAGCACAGGCTCCAGATGCGCAGGCTCAGCGGCCATGGCTCACGGGCCCAGCCGCTCCGTGGCACGTGGGATCTTCCCAGACCGGGGTACGAACCCGTGTCCCCTGCATC